CCCTGGTGGGGTGGCTGGTGGGAAAGGTTGGTAGGATGTGTAAAGCAGATTATTAGGAGAATTTTGGGACGAGCTTCGTTAACTTACGAAGAACTCTACACAATTATCTGTGAGGTAGAGGGTTTGATGAACTCTCGACCACTTACTACTCTCTCGGAAGATACTGAAGATTTGATTCCGTTGACTCCTAATATGTTTCTGCAAGGAATAAAGGAAACTGGACTTCCCGATTTAGACCATATGGAAAAGGTCAATCTTGGGAAGAGATTCCGTTATTTATGCAAATTGAGAAAAGATTTACGAAATAGATTTCGAATTGAGTACCTGGCGCAATTGCAAAACCCGAGGGGGTTAGCCAAGGGCACTAAAATGATTGCTGTGGGAGATATCGTCTTGGTTGGACATGACAATCAAAAACGACTTGATTGGCCTCTGGCGAGAGTTGTCGAGATCTATCCAGGTAAAGATGGATTGGTGAGAGTGGTAAAATTAAAAACACAGGTTGGATTTCTTATCCGTCCTGTTAGGAAATTGTACCTATTGGAGATTTCTTCGGGGGATGAGAAGAAAGATATGCAAGAAGAATTTCGTGACAGGACTGCAGGAAGTGATGTGACAAACTCATCTGAGAAGTATCGAGTCTCCAAAAGGGGCAGACCCCTAAAGACTCCCAAGCGGTTAAATCTATAAACTGATTCGAACTCCTTCAATTTGTACTTTGTGTTTTGTTGAGTTTGAATTTAAGTTTGATTTGATTTTGCCTAACAAAATCAAAGGTGGGAGGATGACCCGTCCATCCCGCTAGATGGCGGGCAGTTTTAATAGTTTTTTTTATTTAATGTTTAATATTATTGGAGAGTTGGCAACACCAAGCTGGTGGTGTTGAGTGACAAAAAGGCGCGAGAATATAGAGCGGGACGCTCTTTCCTACTGAATCATTGTATATAGAAGGTTTGTTGGTTTTGTGTAAATAAAATCAAAAAGACAAACTTGGTGAACTTTTCTTTGGTTGAAGATACGACGGGAACCTGGAGTACGAACGAGACGGTCAGGTGAGACTTACGAAATTANTGGTTTTAGTTCCCTTACCGCTCAGAGAGCACAAAGAGGCCAAAACATCCAAATATTATTGAGCTATAACTTTTATATTGGAAAACTAATAATAAATGATTAAATTTTTAACAAAAATTACACTCTCTTCTTTCCTTGGAAAATACTTTCTGGCAATTTGTGTATATATGCTTCAGAACTTTCTACCATTTATCTATATTGTTTAAATGATTTTCTTCTAGTCATATGCTTTGATCCAATTAATTTCAGAGGCTTTTGATGGAATTAATATCTAGCTCTAGAAGAACTACCTTAGATGTTACAATTTCAACAGTAAAATATGTACAGTACTATTCTCAGAATATTATCCTAACATTACTTATCTATTTAGATTTTGGCTATTTATGGTTTATATGACAATTAATGATCCAAAAGTAAACAATCTTGATATTGATACACTACATAAACATTTACGGCAAAATAATGAGTTTTATGACAGCTGTATTAATTAAAACTTTAAGCATTTTTTAAAAGACAAAAATAAAGAATAATACAAGTTTTTCTAAAATAAGCTGGCATTATAAATATGATTAATGATTTTGAACATTATTCCCAGATAATCTTAGATAAATATGGAACAAAGTAATCGAAAGAAAAAACGAAAATTAAAGGAAATTGATGATATTAAAACAAAGAAGAGAAACTTGGAGAAAATGGATATAGATGAACCTGGATTAAAATCAGCAAAAAAATTAAAACTGAACAATGATTCTAAATCAGGAGAATTTCAAGTGAGTATTTGATAGATAAAATTAAGTGTTTAAAATAATAAATTTAGTAACTTGCCACACACTTTTAATTCAAATGTAGCTTGTGTTAGACTTGGATTATATGAATTAAAGGAAAGAATAAAATATTTTGACCATATGTTATGTTTTAAATATTTTAATGGAATATTATACAATTCCTGGATCATCCTGCAAATACCCGATAGGAGAATGCATAATACAACATGATTATACACTCCTTATTAGCCATATCTCGTAGATCGTATTTCTATCATAATGCATTGCATTCTTGTCCAGTGGAACATATCTTGTATTATGATTTTTCACAATATAAAAGAACATGTAAATGTATTTTATATAATTGTCCAGTAATATAATGTGCTTTTTTTAATTTTTTACTTTTTAAATTTATGAATTTTTTTACATGATATATTTTAATTTTACATCATTGATTTTACAATTTTATATTATTTGATACTATTTATTTGTCCTTTTAGATAATATAATTTTGTACTTAACTACATTTTATAATTCATATCTTATTTTTTGTTATATGTATATATGTTAATTTTAATTTTTCTTGGGTTGTTTTATCATATAATGCAGGTGGTTATTGTTATGGGGTGGAAATCAACAATCATAAGACTTTTCCAACTGTATGTAAAATAAATAAATAAATATTAATTTTTAATTTTAGGTAGATGATTTTTCAGGGGATGTAGAACAAAGATCTTCTGGTAAGTTTTAAATCATTATTTATTTTAATTAGTTTTTAAATTATCAATGAATTAATGAATTAGAGAAAAGGTTGAAAATTTAGAAAAGCTTTTAAAACACAGTAAATGTTCAATGACTATGAATAAATATTTACAAAGTGAGGTATTGCTTACTTTGTAAGTGTATATCTCACTTCATAAATATTTATTTTCACATTAGGTGTTTAATTATCAGTGATTATTACTTGTTAGACAGAGTTCTTGAAAACTTTAACAAACATCTTTAAAAATTATATATTGATCTAACGTAAGGTACTTATTGTTAAAGCCCTGCATGGTTCATCATATGGTAGTTCTTCTCAACGGTATGCATCTTGTTGAGGCTATTTGCATGATAGATGAAATTAACACTCATTTAAAAAATCAAAATCACATTTATTTCAATTTTATTAAAATGAAAAATAAAGAAAAGGAAACCTCTTTGAAATAGCAAAATATACCATACTTCAAAAATTCAAATTTAACAAAATGATTTTTCTAGTATAATATAAATAGCATGTAGAATCCAGGACTATTTTTTTTTTATATAAAATAATATTTGTATCTATATTAACATATTTATTGAAAAGTTAAAGAAGCAAACTTCAATGATGAAGTTCATGAGATATTATTTTTGACTTCATTTCTGTCACAAATAATACATTTTTCTTTAAATGTAACTCGTCCAAGGAAGTGTTAAAAATGTCAGATTGTATATACAGTAGACTCCCCCTATAATTACGATTCCTATAAAACTGCGAAAAAATTGCGACGGTATCTGTAAAAACCCGTAAAAAACTCCTATAATTACGTAAAACGTCATCGGGCAGCCAAACTACTTTCCCGCTGTTCGTAGCACCACGCTACGGAGAGATTACTATTGTCTGTACAGTATTATATATAAATTATATATAAATTAGGTACTGTATATATAATTATATATTAACTTATTGTAACTTTATTATAATTAAATATATAATTTCCGCTGTCTAGCGTGGTGCCACTCTATGGAGATTTTACACTAACTATCGTCTGTACAGTATGTAAATTAGGTACCGTAAGTCTAATACAGTACTGTAATTTTATACATTTCTTGTGAAAGAAACATTTCTTATTCAACGGCGATTAAAATTATTTATATTAATGATGTCTCCAAAGTTCAACGAAGTTTTCGCAGAAAAATAAGTTATCAGAAATC